CCCCAAAACCCCAAAACCCCAAAACCCCAAAACCCCAAAACCCCAGTAAAACCAAGTGAGATAGATTCAATCAAAATTAAAATTAATTTCATATCATATAAGCAAGATGAAAGATTAATCACTCCGTTGCTTTTGTTAATTTTCCTAACATTTCTTTCAGAGTTCATCAAGTGTGATTCAAAAATGGCTCGGTGTGCCTTGATCCATCCTGGCTATTGTGATGGCAACCTCCACTCTCAATCTGGCTTACCATTGGAAAGGAATTCTCCAGTATCAGAAGTTCGATTTCCTCAACTACAGGTTCGACTTCTCGCTGTTCTGAGTGTTGCTCGGAGTCTTCGGCTCGACCACCGGCTTCATCATCTACAGAATGGGAAACGCCGTCGCCTACACCACGGCAGCCATCTTCGCTCTGATTGGTTATGTAGGACTTGCTGTCTGTGCTACCTACGAGAGTTCAGGCGGGTGGCTATTTTTCTTCACAATGTTGTTTTTGGTGATTGCCGGTATCAGTGCAGGCATCGCCATCGTCGCTGCAATTTGCACCCCAGTCGAGAATTTCACCAGAAGAGGTTCCACCTTGATGATTGTGCTGTTGATCGGGTACTTCTTGTTCGGGTACATGTTCGAGATATCGTTAAGAAGAGGATTTTTCAAAACCACTAAGAATTCTTGGTACTTCGGCATCTTCGGAGTCGTCCTTGCAGTCATTTAAAGGGTGCATTGGTTATCATGTAAACAGGTATGCTTAACCCTGAATTTACTTCCTATGTGCATTCCTGATCCAAGAAACCAGACACAGGTTCCAGGATGCAGTGATTTCGCTTGACCAAATCGGATCTTTCATCCTCATCCTCGTCGAAGTGGTGTTCTTCATAATCTTGTATTTTGTGTTCCTGAAGAGCCACAGTTACAAACTGACAACGGTGTTGTTCTTCGTGCTGTTTATCCTGAACTTCATCTTGGTGGGAGTCATGATCGCTTTGTCGTCCAAAGAGTAAGCTTGCCGTTAAAAGTGCTAATCTGTATAGTGTCGAAGACGTCGAGATTTCGGGATCGGGTCTTGGAGAAAGAGACCTAGGAATCAGAAGATCGTTAGACGAGTACATTTGGAACCCTAGACTGTACACAATGTTGTTTGCATCGCTGTGTCTTGTCGGAGTCACCAGTGTATTCTTGTTCAGATTTGATGTATTATTGAAGGAAGAGGATGATGGAGACACAAATCTTTATTCTTATTATAGAACCATAATTTTGACACAAACACTGTCTGCTATCATTGTTGGATTGTTGAGCTACTTCACCAGAACTTCAGTAAATGAATATATATGGGCTATTATTGGAGCTATTATCGCTATTATCGGAGTAATCCTCTACCTTGTTTCAAAAGATTCTTCAAACATAACCTATGCAGGAACAATTTTAGTTGCAATTGGATCAGGAATTGGATGGGTAATGTTTCCTTTGATTGCATATGATGATGCTGGACCACAACCTTTTGGAGTCATTCTGAGCTTGATCTTCTTATTCAACTTCTGGGGGATGACCTTCTTTGGTGGAATTTTCTTCTTACTCACCGAATATTCAAAACCATTGATGCCATTCTTCTTCGTATTCATAGTTGGATTAATCGCATCTATCATTTCAAGCGCAATTTCACTATTCCTGGATGATGAACAAATAAAGAGGTATTACTAATTTTCAATATCTAAAACTATCTTTGGGGTTTTGGGGTTTTGGGGTTTTGGGGTTTTGGGGTTTTGGGG